TAATATGTTTCACGAATTTCTAATGCACGTTGTTGAAATTCTAATGCTTCATCGTCTTTACCTAATTGATATAAAGCTTTACCAATACTACTAAGATTCGTTGCAATAGATGCATCATGATGTAAACAACATTTTTCTGTTATTACCAATGCTCGTTTATATAATTCGAGAGCTTCATTATATTTACCTTGATCACTACGAATATTACCCATATCAATAAGATAATTAGCAATATTCATTTGTGCAGATGGATAATAACGTTCACGTATATCTAATGCACGTTGTTGATAATCATATGCTTGATCAAATTTAGCTTGATCACTTAAACTACGACTTATATTCGTATATATAATAGCAATATCTGCATAACGTGATGTAAAATTTTTTTCATGAATTGTTAATGCTTGTTGATAGAGATCAATAGCTTCATCATGTTTTGCTTGAGCAGCTCGAATATTACCCATATGATTAAAACCATTAGCAATAGATACATATGCTGACGAACAATGATTTTCTCTAATAGTTGATGCACGTTCTTGAAATTCAAATGCTTCATCATATTTTTCTTGTTTATATAAAGTATTACTCATATTACTAAGTGTAGTAGCAATATCGGAATAACGTGGTAGACAATGTTTATCATAGAATAATAATGCACGTTGATAGAAATCAATAGCTTCATCATATTTACCTTGACTATTTCGAATATTACCTATATCATTAAGTGTATTACCAATTTTCATAGAATCCGACGAATGATAAGTTTCTAAAATAACTAATGCTCGTTGTTGAAAATCAAATGCTTCTTCATATTTTTCTTGATTATATAAAACATTACCAATATTACTTAAACTCGTTGCTATTAATGTATGACTAGATGGATAATATTTTTCTTTAATAGTTAATGCACGATAATAAAATTCAAGTGCTTCATCATATTTTTTTTCATCATATAAAATATTTCCAATATGTTCAAGAGTATTTGTCATATCAATATGATCGGTAACATAACGTTTTTTATAAATTTTTAATGCTTGTTCATGTAACTGAAGGGCTTCATCATATTTTCCTAAATGATATAATACACTACCAGTATTATTAAGACATGTGGCAAGTTCAACATGATCAGGTGAATAACATTTTTCATAAATTTTCATTGCACGTTGATGATAATCAAGAGCTTCATTATATTTACCTTGATTACTTAAAATAATTCCAACACGACCAAGACTATGTGCAATATTAATATTATCTGCTGGATAATTTTGTTCTTGTATTGCTAATGCACGTTTTTGTACTTCTAATGCTTGTGCATGATTTTCTTGTTTTTCTAAAATATCACCAATACGTGCTAATTCAGCAGCAAATTGTACATGATCAGGTGGATAATATTTTTCTTTAATTGATAATGCACGTTGTTGAAATTCAAGTGCTTCTTTATATCGACCTTGCCCATAATAAACTCTACCAATATTAGCTAAACCACCAGCTATTTTAAGATGATCAGATGCATAAAAACTTTCTAACATTGTCAGTGCACGTTGATAATAATCCAATGCTTCATCATATTTTTTTTCATCTTTAAGTATATGACCAATATTTGTTAGTGTAATAACAATATCAGAATGTCCTGATGGATAAGATTTTTCTTGCATGACTAATGCTTGTTGATAACGTTCAATCGCTTCATCAAATTTTCCTTGACAACATAGAACATTTCCAATAAGATTAAATGTATTTGAAATTTCAATATGACCTGATGGATAACTATTCTGTTGAATTTCTAATGATTGATCACTGAATAATAATGCTTCTTTATATTTTCCTTGTTTACTTAAAATATTAGCTATATTACTTAATGTCGATGCCATATCAATATGATTCGATGAATAATATTCTTTTTGTTTTGTTAATGCACGTAAATAATAATCAAGTGCTTCACCATATTTTCCTTGTTCATTTAATATATTACCAATATAATTATAATTATTAGCAATATGTGCATAATAAGATGGATAATCTGTTTCTAACATTTTAAGAGCACGATAATAATAATCAAGTGCTTCATCATAATTTCCTTTACCACATAATAATATATAGCCAATATTATTATAAGTACAAATAATATCCATATGATTTGATGAATAATATTTTCGTTGCATTGCTAATACTTGATGATGATAATCTATCGATTCATCATATTTACCTTGTCCATATTTAATATTTCCTATATTACATAGACTAGTTGCTATTTCAATATGACCAGATGGATAGAATTTGTTTTGCATAGCTAATGCACGTTGAACAATTTCAAGTGCTTGATCATATTTTTCTTGACGAAAAAAAATTAAACCAATATTATTCATTGTATGTGCAATATATACATCACCAGATGGATAATATTTTTCATAAATTTTCATTGCTTGTTGATAATATTCCAAAGCTTGATCATGTTGTCGTTGATCAGTTAGAACACAAGCTATATTTTTTAAACTTGTTGCAATATCAACATGAAAATAATTATAATAAATTTGTCGTATTTGTAATGCTTCACGAAGAAATATAAGTGCTTCATCATTCTTTAATTGTTGATAATGAATAAGACCAATATTATCTAAACTAATAGCAATATGTACATGATCCGAAGAATAAAATTTCTTTCGAATTATTAATGCTTGTTGTTGATAATCATATGCTTCATCATATTTGCCTTGTAATTCTAATATTTCACCAATATCAGAAAGTATATCAGCAGCATCTTTTATACGTATTGGTTCACATTGTATCATTCGAGTGTAAGCACGATCATAATATTTTCGTGCTTCATTCCATTTACCTTGCCAATGAAGAGCTTGACCAATACAATGTTCGATTCGTTCATGATCTTCATTATGTGAATTAATTAATAAATTTTCAAAATATTCTTGTGATTGATTCCATTGACTCATATCACATAATAATTTACCAAATATAATTGAAATAGATAAATCTTCTATTTGCCGATGTATATCATGAATATATTTTTCTTTTATCATTTGTCCATCTTTAACAGCCGTCATTTTAATAAGCCAAATTTGTTCATTCAATTTTTCAATAGTGTCTAATCGAAAAGTAGCATTGAAATTAAATAAAATTTCATCTTGACATAATGATTCTTTAAATTGAGTAATATCAGCAAATATAAGTTCTTCTTTATTACATTCAATTTCAAATAGTACATTGATATTTTCTGTAATGGATGTTTTTAATATTGGTCGAATAGATTTTGCAAGAAAAAATCCTTTGATTGAAATAAGTTTCCCTTTTTTTTCTTTAAATTTATGTAATTCATCCTGTGAAAAATTCATTTGTTGATAAACATTTATTGTTTTTTCTTTTCCCGTTTGAATAATTTGTTGATGTTCATTATTTAAACAAGTAATAAGATCACCAAGAAAATATCGTAATTTATAAAGTTGATTTGTATCTTTAATTCGTAATGCTTTATTAATTAATTTTCGAAGAAATGAATTTTTTAAATACCATTGAATAGCTTGATTTGATTGATATTTTTCTTCAAATTCATTTATTAATTCTAGTTCTTTTGAATTATCTTTATAATAAATACGACAGAAATCAATCATTTGTTTTTTAGCTTGTGTATCATTTGATAAATGTAGAATAACATCATGTAAAGTTTGTAACCAAAAAAAATCATTTGATTGTTTTGATAAATCTCGAATACAATTTTCTTCTTGATCAAAAAAACTCCAACTATATAATTGATTATCAAGTAAATGAATTTGTTTTTCAATTGATGAACATAATAAATCTAATTCATCATAAATACCAATTATTTTAGAATAATCATTAAGTAAATATTCATATTGGTTTTTTTCAGAACAATAAATAAATATAAAATCAATTTGTTGTAAAATAGCAAATTGTGAAACATATGAACCAGAAGTAATGAGAAAGATTTTTTCATTTTCAATTGATTGAATAAATGCAATACAAGTTTCTAATTTATTATGAAAAATAACATAATCATTGATTTGACGTAATTGTGATTTTAAACAGTCTATATCATCATATAATTCTTTATTTGGATCAAACCAAATGAGAGTTATATTTTCTTTATTTTCTTTTTCAAATGAACATTCTGATGGAATGGAAATAATGTCACTTGATGATAACGCTACCATGATTATTAATATTTACCTTTTAAATAAAAGAATTTTACGTCAAAAAAACAAATTGAAAAACATTGAATATATATGATTCTTTCGTTACAAAAACTAAATATGATAGTAGTCTACTTACGAGAAGGACATTGAATTAGTAACTGAATATGCTTTTTCATTTGATTAATATTTACCTGACTGAGTTATATACCATCAAAAATAAATGGTTGATTTTTTTCTTACATAAACACGTTTGTTGATATATACAGAAACGAAGTATTACTTTTTTTCTTTTTGGTGTGTAAGCAGAACAGATAAAATATATGTATTATATGTCCCATCCTTATTTCGTTTTTTTTTTCTTCATGTATATTGATATTATTAAATATATGTGTATTATGATAAAAATCGTTTTCTATGTGTTTGAAAGGAGGAGAAAAAAACAAAAACAAATTTTCATTTTGTTATCGTTGATTCATAGAAATTTTCAAAGAAAAAAATTACTCGAATATGTGTACATCATATGATATAATATTAAAAAAAGGCAGCTTATTTATTTATGAATTGAATTTAATCTAGTTATTTTAAAACCATCGTATTACTTCACTCAGTTTTTATAGTTGTCGATCTAGGAGGGGAAATATTTTGTATAACCACGTATCTTAGATATCAATTTAATTCGTAGGTGCTCACTTTGTATGGATGTCTTTACATTGTGAGTTACTTATTTTCATGTGTTCTGAACATTCCTTAATTGTTTTTTAGATAAAAATAGAATCAACGTAAAAGTAAAATCGTGATAATCGATAAAAATATCACAAAAAAAACGACATTGATTTTTCGGGCATGTGTTATGTTTCTTTTTGATAACATTCCTTTTCAACGTCGCCTTTTTTTACGTGTTCTGTATATGTTGACTCATACAATTTTATCTTGCATTGTAATTACGCAAGGCATGAAAAGAAATAATGTATGCCTGTAAAACATCTTTCTATGTTATTATGACGTGAAGAGTTTTCTTGTCACCAAGTATGACTAACGTTGAAAAACAATCCGATGAAATTTTAGTTTTACAATCAATTTTTGATAAAAAATTTCATTTTCTCGATGAAAATCAATATGAAATATCGATTGAATTTGATCTTAATATACCAATAACAATTCGATTTGATAACCAATCGTCTATTATTCAATATTTACCACCATTTAATCTTATTATACAGTATCATGATGAATATCCAAGTGAATATCCACCTTCATTTATAGTATCATGTTTTTATTTTTCAAAATTGAATCTACAAAAACTTTGTCAAAAACTTGATAATTATCCATTTAATAATGGAGATGTATGTGTTTATGATTGGATTGATTTAATTAAACTTGAAATAAATAATGAAATGATTTTTCATACGGGAGCCGAAGAAGAAGAAGACGAAGAAGAAAATGATCCTAGAGCATTGAATGGATATTTAATGGAAGCAGGTGAGAAACTATTTCAATATTTAATTAATTATAATCAACAACGTGAAAATGAACAATTTCAAAATCAATTACAAACATGTTTAATTTGTACGGATGATATTCGAGGTTTAGATTGTATTCGTCTTCAACGTTGTCGACATTTCTATTGTCGATCTTGTTTAAATAATTATGTTCGAAGAACTTTAGACAATGGAAAATTCGGTGAGAAACTCCTATGTCCACAAGATCAATGTAAACAACCATTGCTTCCAACAGAAGTTAAACAAATTATTCAAGATGAACAATTATATGAAAAATACGAGCGATTAACATTACAACATAGTCTTGAATTAATGGATGACATCATTTTTTGTCCAAGGTAAGAAAGTATTAGATGATCTGAAATATTTCAAAGAAATATCAAATTTGTTTAGATGTCAATATACAGTTTTTATTGATGATAGTGCTGATAATCTAGCTATGTGTGAACAATGTCGTTATGCATTTTGTAAAATATGTAAAAATAATTTTCATTCTCAGACAGCATGTCCAAATCAGTGGATGATCGAACAATTAAAATTGTCAGAAGAAATACAACGTAAACGAATTAAAACACAAAAACAAGAATCTAGAGTACTGCTTGGAGAAACAGAAGAACGAAAGAATTCTTCAAAATCAGACAAACATTCAAGACTTGCAAAGAACTTATTATATGAACAAACTACATTCGAAGACATATTAAGCGCTGGACGAATAGATACACTCAATACTCAACCTTGTCCTAGATGTCATATACGAATTGAAAAGAATGGTGGTTGTTCACATATGCACTGTACACGATGTGATCATCATTTTACGTGGCAAGCGGTACCAGATACTTCAAATCCGAATAATATTTCATTACTAGATAACTACATGAACAGCGCTATGCGAATACCATCTGTTAAAAAAGCATTGAACAAAGTAACAAATACAGGTTTGTACTAAATCATTTTACTGGTCGGCATAAACTAAACTTGACAAGGACCTTAAGATATTTGTTAGAGACTGTCGAAACCAACACTTTTTAATATAGATTTCGAATCAGAGTGATAGGTTCTAAGTTATAACTCGTGATATAAAATCTTTAGAAAATATACGATGTACTTTTTTTTTCAGCGTATTCATCTAAACAAGAAACAACACAAAATAAAGATATTGATTCTGGTGAAAAAGAAGATGATCAGAAAGTTTCAGGTAATAATAGATTAGATGCTCATTCTGTTATTGTCAACAGAGTAAAACAATGTCCATCTAAATCGTGTAAAAAATTCAATATGAAAATGAGTGCAGACAATTGGATGATATGTAGCAGATGTATGAAACAATATTGCTTTATATGTGGATCTGTTGTTCATGGAAAAATACATTTTGCAAAAAAATGCAAACGACAAACACCTATTTGAATTACAATACGCACACATCATGAGAGCATATATAGATCTATGTTTTCGGATGAATATATTTTGTAAATATTGGTATCAAAGTATAGAGTCAATTAGAAGTTTTATTTTTATGATTATAAAAATATTTAAAGAGCGATTTGAACGCGAAAAAAACAAATAAATAGCACGGCATGATATTATTTCTTTTCATGATATGGAAATTTTTTTCCTTGAGGATCTGCTGCAATTTTATCTGTTGCATCAGCACATATTACATCTCCTGATTCTCCTTCAAGTAAAAGTAATGTTGGAATTCCATCGATATCAAATTTCTTTTTTAATTCTTCTACTTTTTTTCGTTGTTGAAAATCTAATCTTAACCAAGGCATTTTTTCATAATATTCATCAAACGATTCTTCATCATCATCCGAACCAATGAAAATAATTTCGAAATTTTTTTCTTCAGAATATTGTTCATAGAATTTCGCTAATTTTGGAGTAAATTCTTGACATGGTCCACACCTAAAGAAGAGTCATTTCTAATAGAAATTTATGAAAAAGAAAGAATTGAACAAACCATGAAGCAGTGAAATAGAGACCGATTATTGTTTCTCCATATTCTTCGTCATCAAGATCAATTTCTTCATCCGATTTATTCAGAATATGTCCATCAAATAGTTTCGCTACACCAGCCATGAAATTTTATTGTTTACGTTTGTATAATAACACCAACGGTAAGTAGACGAATGATTTATATCGTTACACGCCAATATTTTTCTTCATTTTGTTTTCTCTTATCATCGACCGTGAAATTAGGAGAAAATATTCGACCGTAAACAATGTATTATTTTATATGATAAAAGAAATGTCAGTTAAGAATGCAAAGTATTCATTGGTTATAATCTCGATTAATGATCCCTTAAATCATAAAAACCTCTGTAGTCTGGATAATATACATGGGATCACTCATATACAGAATGAAAAGAAAATGTTATTGTTATAAACAATAATAAAATACATAAACGAAAAAACACACCAACGTAAGGGTGGGTATCGCATTAATTGAGAGAAAACATTTCTGACTATGTGCGGAAGAATCTTAAGTAAAACTTTCTCCTTATGATATAATGACATGTTCTTTCATAAAATTCGAATAGTTTAGAAGTAGATCGACTTCTTTATCAAATTTATCTAAAACATATCTTTTGAGAATCTTTGTGACACCAACCATTAAATCATACTTTATTTACATGTATTCACAAGAGACTCAACTTGTACAACACTTGATTTCGTCACTCTTCATTGAATCTTTTTATTTTTTCTCACGAGAAAAACAAATCCAATACAAATATATGTAGAGCAAATAAAATATGTCATTTCGTCCTCGTTCGCATTGTTTGAAATGAAATATATTATTCATTAGAACGATCGATGTACAAAGGTATCGCATTGAAAGAAAAAGGGCGAAGGCATTTTATAAATACAGTAAACTTTCTCCTAACAGACATTATATATTAGATTTAGAAAAAAATCTACCAATGATTAGACAGATAAATCATCTTGATGATGGGGATATTCATATTTTAATTAAAACTATACCAATGAAATAATATTGATTCATTTTCTGAAGAGTATTATTATTTACATTGAATATCGATGATTTAACTTTTAAATATTGAAAATTTTCATAACTAATATTAATATATAATATATATCTATTTATATGAAACTTATACTTCATTTTTTCTTTGTATCATCATGATAAATATCATTTGTAGAATATAAATTATTATCTTTGATTTATCTCTTATGCCATTCGAATATTGATAATGATGAATATCAAAGATCATCAATTTGCACAACTCTTGATTGTCTATATCTATCTAAAATATTATGTTAAGTATAGATTAAATTATTTGGAATGAAATTCAATAGTTTTCCACTATGATCATTTTGTCTTTAATTCTCTTGTTTTGCTTTTATTGTTCACTATATGTATGAACATATTTTATGAATCTGTTTTCTGTTCTTGATAAACCTGTTTGAAAATATCTCATCATGCAACTCAATGATTTGGTTAAGTGTCTATCAAATTCAAATAATTATAATCTGATAATAAATATTTTTTTATTATTCATAAAAATATTTCAATAAAAAACAAGAACAAACGAAAATCGTTGCGAATTCAAATTAATATAAAATTAAGAATATTTCAAGAAAAGTTTGAATCAAAAAATCGAATTAAATATGATCAACACATCATGAAAGATTTATTTATATTTCAGCGTTTCTTATACGATATATCTTCTTTGTCCTTTCCCAACATATACAAAAAGAAAGATATTATATATATATACATGGTGAGAAAATGCATTATCAAGATAAAGCTAGCGGCAAATTTGATTTTTCATTAATTACTAAATTAGTCCGCTTTCCGATTACCACACAAAATATATTTGGTTATGAAGCGTATACTTTTTTTTATTAAACATATAAAAGCATTATAAGAGAAATGTTATACAAAATAAATATGAATCAATACTTGAACACTTATCAAGAAGGCAACACATTAATCGGCTTTTTTTAAAGTTTTACTGTTAACGATAATAATTAGTAATAAGTCGTTACACACTAGCATGTTGCTAGACTAAACATTTGTATTCGATTATTAAATCTATCAGAAACCAATAGGTTGCCATGTTTGTCAAAGAGGATTGTTTCAGGAAAATTGAGTTGATTCGCTGCTGTTCCTGATGTACCACCAACGATTGTAGTACCACTAGTTGCATTTTGCAGCCAACGTTGAATACGATTGTTATCTGAGTATAAAAAAAAATCAAGTGAGATTGTTTAATTTATAATATATTTTCTTTTCTCAAAATTTCTCTTACATCCATCAGCTATATAAAGAGTTCCATTACTATCGACCACTATAGATCTTGGATTATTCAACTGATTCGCTCCACTTCCAGCTCCATTACCTCCGGCGACAACTGTTCCACTAGTTGCACTCGTTGAACCTGATGAGTATTTCATTACACGACTATTACCATTCTCAGTAACGTACAAAGAGTTCGTATATAAATAATCATAGTAAACACCATTTGGACCTGAAAGCTGGTTTGAGGCATTTCCATTACCATTACCACCTATATATAAAAATAAAACCAAGATTAAACGAAAGATCTCTTTGAAAGAACATTATATACCTGCTGCAACCACTGGTGATCCACTACCTCCAACAAACTTGTATACCGCATTATTCGTATAGCTAACTACATAGATATCATTAGTCAATTGATTTATGGATATTAATGCTGGCTGAGCTACAGAACCGAGAAGTGTTCCAGATGTCGTTGAATTTGAACTTGATGGAAATCTGACGACTTGATTGCAACCGAAATCTGCTACATACAATCGACTAGAACTATCAAGAGCCACTCCAACAGTACCCGAAAATTGATTCAGACTGCAACCCGCGCCATTACCTCCAGCAATTACTGTTGCAACTGAAGGTGAATTACTAAGAGAAAATCGTAGGATACGTTTGTTTCCATAATCCGCAACGATTAACATATTGTTAGGACCGTCATAATACATTCCGATTGGACCAGAAAGAAGTGTAAGATTAGAACCGGGTGTACCTGCTAGACTGCCAAATATAGTAGTAGCATTTTGTGACCAGGATGGTTGAGTACATACTATAAAAAGAAAGGAAAAAACAAGTATGTTACTATCTAACACTTATAGACCAGTTCGGACATTATAACTAAGATGTTCTGATTATATTTTATGATCAACCTAACCAGAAACTTTATACATGATGTAATGAGCATAAATTGCAAACAGTTTTACGAAATCATGTATCTTACATTACCGTAGTTTGTACATTATATCAACAATATACATCTTTTTTCAATAACTTGAGAATTTTTAAATAACACACCTGTTGTTGTTGATGATGATGTTGATGTCGATGACGACGTTGTTGATGATGTTGATGATATTGATGTTGATGATGATGACGACGACGATGATGGTGTTGTTGTTGTTGTTGAAGTGATCTGATCTATATTGAAAAAATGAGATTAACAAAAAGGTAGGATAATTGGATAAGGATTCGCCTAAAAATTGCATGCTTCGTTCTACTAACAGTATAGTTGATTATGGATGCATTCTGATAAATTTTACATAAGTTCCCTTGGATTTACAAACCTTACGGCTTCTATAATACTTATTTATAGCTAAACCTGTACTACAATAGTTTAAACCGATGACTATACACGTAATCTAACTTTAGCAATGGTTCATTTGGAGTCCTATGTAGCTGTAAGTGTGGAAAATGATGATAAAACACTTGTCATCGAATAATCAATTGAGAACACCCCCGAAAACAGTTGCTGAGCATCAAAAAATTTTAAAAACTAAAAATGTGTTTTTGTGTTTCGATGGCCGTTGTGTATTTGGCCACCTTACATTTCTGAACATATAATCACAAATAAATCTCTTTTCGACACATTAGACTTGTTGCATCTATCGAAAGTAATATGTAACCAACTTAGCCATTAACTCGAACATTTGCAACAAATAAATAAATCTTCCAATCAGTTAAAAACTCGTCTAAATTAATAGATGTGAGTAACAATCTGAAGATGAGACTGACATGATGTATTTGAATGTGTAAATCTATATAATCTGTACCGAAACAATACACCATTCAATCATGGCAAAACTATGATATGTTGCAGTATTTATATTAATATATTTACTTTGTGCTATGAATATTGCTGATTGATTCATAAATAGCAATGAAGAATTCAGACTAAACTCAATTAAAATCGATGTATAATTTGTATAAAATAATTGGCAAGTTTGATTTCTTGAAAAATAATTTAATGTCGATATCATTCTATTTGACATTATCATTTCACATATACATTGACTTTGTGTTATATTCAATAATGATTTCGATATATCACCAATCAATATGTTATTATCTATTTTACCGACAAGAACACAATCACCACTAGGAAATACCAATAAAACAAACAATATCCAAAACATCTTTTATGACTTGACGATTTAAACGTTTTTGTTAGCAATATTTTAGTTACTAATATTACTGTTTCTCTTTGCTTTTATTTTCTCGAACTCTCTTGTTTAATATTTAATCGCTACAAAAAAAAGTGCTGTAGATTGTTAGTCAGGTTTGTGTGAAAAAATAACCATAGTGATGACTAGTATACATGCATAAAGCGAGTAGAATAGCAGCAAGGAGAAAAAGATTTGACTAAAAGAAAAGAAAATATTACGTTAGTTTCTTTAACCATTTATGGAATTAAAATCGTCACCATCAAATGAAGAACAGAAACAGTTTCTTTTTCTGTATATATGTAATGGCTTTTTAGAATTAAATTGCCTTCAGAATGCTTATGCAATGTTATGAAAGAAAGAAAAGAATTGTGATAATTAACGAATTACTTTATCTAAACGTACAGTTATTACATGTGTTTGTTTAATAGAATGTTGTAAAAAATACAATGTTTTTTTCTCAATATTGTCAATCATATTATCAATATTATTTTCAATTCATTTGATGATGTAGATATGAGTGATATATCGTTAAGAAAAATCCCTACGAACATGAGAATTTAAAAATATAACACAAGAATTATTATCCTACTCACAATCAATTTGATCGTAAAATCGATTTTTATAAATAAATTTCTGTCTTGAAGAAGTGCCTTTTATTATAATATCTTATCCAAGACAATAGTGATATGCGATCTTTTAAAAAGAAGTTGCATCGTGGAGCCCACAGATCGCTGTTATTCTTTGATAGCAACCCACTCGAGTGTTCAGTTGCTGTCGATAGCTTTTGATGCAGCTATCAAAGGGGATCATAAATGATATTAATATTAAATTGTAGATGGCCGAAACATCATGTATCATCCTTATAGAAATCATGCGTTCAGTCATGTAGGATAAAGTAACTATGATGCATTGTTATTCTTTTTAATACGATACACTAGCATAGTATTGATGCGTTTCTGCACATTTCAAGATAATTAAAACGAAAGAGTAAAGATAAGTTAGGTGCGATTTTTTCTTAACACATGTTTTACAGCTGAAACAACAGTTGATGATGCATAATGAGTATGAAATATCAATAAACATTCTTTTACAAGAAGTAATTGACAAGACTTGACAGAGTCTTTATTATCATTTCTGAGTAGATCTATATGAACTTGATTGAAACGAATAATTTGCAAAGAAACGTTTTCGAATATTTCTCACAATAGTCATTGTCTAAATGAATTAATTGAAATTTTCTTTTTTAAGTTATTAAGTGAAACGGAAAAGAACTGCATAAAGTAGTTTGATTATCAATAAAATATTATATGTTATGTTTGAAGATTTTTGAATTATATTAAAAGTATTGATGTGTTTTTTTTCACTGAATTCAACGACCTGATTGATAGAAAGATGAAACTAGTTTTCGACAATGATAATGCAACTTTCTTACAAAAGTAAACAGTTTTCATAAATTCGTTTTGAGAAGAGAAAACTTATTATCTTACCCATTCAGACGAAAGAAACAATTGACTTGGAGTAATTACACAATTGTTATTCTTACTTTATACAAATGATTCTTGCTTCACTAATATGATTTATTAGTCAGTGACAATCAAAGGAAGTCTTGCATACGAGTTCAGCTTGTTGCCGTTGAATTTATTTTGTGAGGCAGAAGACGCTAATTGTTTTAAGTAGGCAAAAATCAGAGAATTGTTTTAGAAGAACATCTAGTTGATTATTAAGTTTCCAGATATTTGTTGTTGATTTTTATACTTTAATAGTCATGTATAAGAAAATTGAGTAAGCCCTATCATCAGCAGACTTCATTGAGAGTATTTCAGTAGAAAAATCACTTATCTCTTGTTAGTCTACTGCAAGATAAATATAGTAACGACAGAGTTTATAAAATCAACATAACAGTAAAATGTCTTTCAAAAAAAGTAAAGAGTGTAGTAGAAGTAAACTTGTAGTTACTATTAACATTCAGGAGAAGGAATGAGTATTTTTATCCGATCGATAGAAAAATAAATAATATATTTCAGCCAATGATCGATATCTCAATTTCCTTTGTTTTTAGAGATTGATAAGAATAACCATAGATTTTGCTATTATAGCATAAGGGTGGGTATGAGTGTGTGCAAATATCACTGTAGATGACTAGTTAGTGTCTTTATACTCACAAGCAAGCAACCACATTCTCTGCTTTTGATCAGATTTCATTGTGCTCTTTATGCATTACAATGTTCGATATGTTGGAATTGTGATCAAAAATGAGACGAACTTCTGGTAGAATAGAGTCTATCATAACATTGGATGCGCGAAGAACATACCGAACAATATTTCAAAACATTCACAGTGATGACGACTTTCGTATAATCATATGCTTCATTCTTAAGAGAAAAGACTTTATCAGAGAATTAAAAACAATACAACGGGATAAATGTTGAATCATCAATTGATACCGGTTCTACAAACAACAGTGAACATCGCTATTAATGATATTTGTACATTATAAAATTTGAAAATTTGAGTTCTGGTGTCGATTGTCGGATTCATCAAACTGATAATAATAGCATAGTTGTGTCATGATAATCGCTATGGTTGAATGATTATTTTTGTTAAATGTATATTATCACGCTATTGCATTCGAATCTTGACCCTAGTAAGCATGGATAGTCTCTAGGCAAGCTAGTAATGATTATTTTCTTCAGATTACCCATATGCTGATGAACTGACTACATTATAACATGCACCAGACGGCGTCAGAGTAGGCGTGTGTATGAGTTTCGGTTATCTCTCTCTCTCTCAGCCTGATCCACAGAAACATCCACATTCTCACGTATATCCACATCCACATCCTGAATATGAATGCATTTGTATTTCTATAGGCAAAAATCATAATTGCATAGATCATATCGCTTTAATTCCATGAATTGAACCCATAATCAGTTATTAGAAGAATTCTTAAGCAATCATTTTTATCTTTATTTGAAATGTATAAGCATGCACATACAATCACAGTGACATCAAGCCCAATGAAAAATAGTAAAAGAAAAACAACTACATGTATATTTGTATATGATTAGGTACATGCAGGGTATAGGTATAATATGAGAAAACAAACACAAAAAAGATGACGCTATGTCAGCGAAGATATCATATAAGAAAGAAACATGCTCTAAGGTCGAACACTTATGAAAAATCAAGAAAAAGTCAACACATTAACCGCCTTTTTCAAAGTTTTACTGTTAACGATAATAATCAGTAGTAAGCCTTGTATACTAGCATGTTGTTAAATTGAAAAGTTGTATTCGATTATTTCCTCTATCGACAACCAACAAGTTACCATATTTATCAAAGAGGAATGTTTCAGGAGTACTGAGTTCATTTGATGCTGTTCCTGATGTACCACCAACGACTGTAGTGCCACTGCTTGCATTTGGCAGCCAACGTTGAATACGATTGTTACCTGCATATGAAGAAAAGTAAAACGAGATATTTTTAACCTATGGAATATTTTCATTTCTCAAAAATGCTCTTACCCCAATCAGATATGTAGAGACTTCCACTACTATCTACCAGTATAGATCTTGGATTATTGAATTGATTCGCTCCACTTCCAGATCCATTACCTCCGGCGACAACCGTTCCAGTAGTTGCACTCGTTGAACCTGATGGGTATTTCATTATACGATTATTATTATTATCAGTAACGTACAAAGAGTTTGTATATAAATAATCATAGTAAACACCATTTGGACTTGAAAGCTGATTCAGAGCATTTCCATTACCGTTGCCACCTATATATGAAAATAAAACCAGTATTAAAAGAGAGATTTGTTTGAAAGAACATTATCTACCTGCTGCAACCACTGGTGATCCACTACCTCCAACAAACTTGTATACCGCATTATCAGCATAGCCAACTACATAGATATCATTAGTCAGCTGATTTATGGATAGTAGTTCTGCTGAACCTACAGAGCCAATAACTGTTCCAGATGTCGCCGAAGTTGAACCTAATGGAAATCTAACAATTCGAGAGCATCCTGCATCTGCTACATACAATTGGCCAGAACTATCAGCAGCTACTCCAACAGCAGCCGACAATTGAGTCATGTTACAACCAACGCCATTACCTCCAGCAATTACTGTTGCAACTGACGGTGGATTAGTGATAGAAAATCTTAGAATACGATGATTTGTATTATCCGCAACGGTTAGCATATTGTTAGGTTGGTCATAATACATTCCAATTGGAATATTAAGAAGTGAAAGGGTGGAGCCAGCTGTACCAGCTTGACTTCCAAATATAGTAGTCGCAGTTTGTGACCAAGATGATTGAGAAGATATGGAGCATGCTATATAAACAAAAGAAAAAAGCAACTATTTTACTATTCAACACTTGTAGACCAATTATATATGTGATATTCGAAAAGGATAGAAGTAGTTCTTAGATATGGCATAATAATGTCTATTGTATTTATTTCTTTAGAAAATATGATATGCCTTAATGGATATGGCGCATAAGACCGGTAGCTGCTGAGATAAAGAAGTTGATGTTGACTGAAATAAAACAATAGAAGACGTAGAACTTAAATTTCCAATTAATCCCACATCTCTCTTATAAATTCGTTGTGGCAATAAGCACATTTTTAAAACAGAACAACTGAGATGTTCTGATTATATTTTTATGATCAACTTAACCAGAAAAGTTAGACATGATCTAATGATCATTAATTGCAGATAGTTTTAGCAAATTATGAATGTTACATTATTGTAGTTTGTACATTATACAAACAACATATATTTTTTTTAATAATCAGAAAATTCATAAATAACTTACCAGTTGTTGTTGATGTTGTGGTTGTTGTAGTTTTACTTGTAGTTGTGCTTGTTGTTGTTGTAGTTGTAGTTGTAGTTGTAGTTGTAGTTGATGTTGATGTGGTTGTTGTAGTTGATGTGGTTGTTGTTGTAGTTGATGTGGT